CAATAATCATGGTTCAGGATACAAACTGTACAGAAACCAGGAGTAGTTCACAAAATCTAAAAGTTTAAAACTAGAAACTAGCATGTCTGTCTTGGAGAGAGGCATATATGAGGGAATGATTTTTACCAAAGGAGCAAGAACTCTGAAAATTTACAATTTTTAAGCTCAAAATAGATCATCATCAAATATTCTAAAGCCCCTGCCTCCTGTTTTGAGCCTCTGCCTCTCTTTTCCTGTTGTCATCCTGGCAGCCACAATATATCTGAGACCTTAGCCCCATCATCTGGTAACAAATTACCTTGGCATTTATTCAACAGTATTCATATGTTCAATGTCTTCTTGGGTAACTCCTTTTTAATTTGCTCACTCCCTGGATTTGCTCACTCTAGGGACTAAACATGGATATTTTTGTTTTTGCCTTATCATATGTCTGCTCCATTTCTCTCAGCTCACAAAGTAGGCATTTAATGCGCTACCTTATTTTAATATTAAAAGTTGTTTTAAAAAAAAAAAAGTTGTTCTCATTGCCCTTGTTTTGTTCTCACTAAAGTTCTTCAAGGGACAATCCTGCTTCCCAATACAAAGTACTTGTCTGATACATAAGCCATTGTTTGGGTTCTGCCATTTATGAACAACTGCTCTGTCTGCCTCCAGGTAATGACCAGTATCTGCTGTATAGCCCAATGCTTTGCTCTGTCTCTGTAATAGGAAATTGTCTTAGTATCATCTGAAATAGTTTTATTTGCAGATGTTTAGATTTCTAAGATAGCATACTCCAAGCTAATATTAAATAAATAGTAAGAAATAAAATTAGGTGGACAGACATTTAGCTAGAGATTCTGTACCTTATAGAAATGGTTTCTATTTTAGGATTTAATCACATTTTTTTTAAATCTAGGTTACTTTTAAGGAGATCTGGTCATTGGGCAGAGGTCTATAAAGTGACAGTTTACATTTTTAGGCATCACATCTAAGCCCCACATTGCAGGTTTCTAAACAGATTTTGAGAATATCAAAAGGAGATTGAGCTAATGATAAAAAGACTAGGCTAGGAGTTCATAAATGTAGTCATTTGAGGTGTGACTCAGGGTGGGTTTATAGTCCCAGTAAACTTTGATATGAGCCAAGGATTTATAACCCAAAAGAGTAACACAAGGATAGGGAAGTATGGAACAACAGGTCAAAGTGTGCAGTTCCTGAGAGTTTACTTATACACCCCTGATGCCTTCTATATTCTTGTTTTATTTTTACAAACTAGAAAGGGAATAGTATGTATAGGACAGTGTGACTTAAAGGGCCAGGAGTGGAATAGGGAATAGCAGTACTTAATAAACACATTCTTGTATTTGCTTTGTGGAAAGCTATATTGGAAAGGACAGGTTTGCCACTATACTATCCTACATAGCTGTATCTCCAATTTCTTGTTTTTGTTTTTTTTTTTTTTTTCTCCTTTCCATTCCTTTGGCCATGACTCCCTCCATGGCTTCTGTCAGTACCTTGGTCAGAATATCATGCTCATATGGAGAATGGAAATAGAAATTTAAAATGAAATTGCAGTCAATGAAGGTTATTAAGGAAATTAGGACTGTTAAGAGGAGATCCCCTAAATTTTCATGCTTCTGTCATCACAAATGACAAAGTATCTTGATGCTCCTCTTAGAGACAGAGGGACACTCTTGAATGGCCTATGGTATTGGTGCAATATGGGATTCCTTAGGTTCTTTGCACAACTATACTCACAATGCAAAATATAAAACCCTTCAAGCAACTTATATTGTTCCTTTAGGAAACTACTTTAATTTAGGAAACTACTAACTGGGTCTCATTGAGCATATCCTGGGCCTGACTAGTCTTAGGACAAGTCTCCTAGAAGCTTTTCTCCTCCCCCATCCCCTTACAGCAAATTTCTTCCTGCCTGTTCTTAAACCTCAGCTCAGGTCCACCACCTGGAGGCCTTGAAGAGTTAGTGCTAAGGTGTATCTGTGTTCATATATCAAGCTTGTTTGACCAGGGCAGTCAAAAACAAAAGCTAAATTGAAAGATGGAAAATATATATATATATACCTTGGTTGACTGAACTGATCAAAATTTTCTTTAAGTGATCTATCAGTATTTTCTTAGAAACATAATGCATTGAATCCAGGACAATTTTATTTTTATTGTTATGTAACTTGATTAATGCCTGCAGGTAATATCAACCACCCTGTGCCCTAATACTTTATTGCATTTATAGTGTAAATAGAACTTAGTGGTACATGTGTTCATCACTCACCCAGTTCACTAAATCTTGTACCTCTTATAAGAAGGGGTTGTGTGTTATATATTTTTGAAGATCCAATATTTAGGTGATGCATATTGATGTAAAGTCTGACCCAGAGTAGCTACATCTGACTGTTTTCTCAACTGAAATAAACTATAAATTTACCATATCATTCAGGTTCTCTACAAACTCCAAATATTTCATTCAAGAACTGCTGAGGGTTGCACAACTGTATCTTCCTTCCTATGCACTAACAAGGTGTGTGTATTCAGAGATCTGTAGTTTCTGAAGCTTACGTCCTGAAGTTGAAGGTTGAAAAAAATAATCCTCATTAAGTATACTCATTGAGTCTGGGCTCCTTTGTTAAAGTGGTACATGTTAATATAAAAAACTATTTCATTCAAGAGTCCAGGAAGCAGAGAGCTTAACAAATCCATAAATAAGCGTAATTAATAAAATAAATTCCAAATAAAAAGAAAGAAAAATGACAGTACAGATACCAGGTGGAGTACTATTTTAGAACACGAGCAGCTGATATCTGGAACTGAGTGGTGGACAAGATATAGTCAGAGTTGAGATTTAAGAGAGGACTTGTAGTTTATTGGCCCTTGGCTGTTATGCTGCAGTGTACTGGAACAATCTACTTTGAAAAGACAGATCTCCAGAAACGGAAGATGAACATCCCAGCCCCCTCCCCCACACAGAGGTGAGTTTCACTTTACTCTTCAGAAATGCCACACGTTCGTTGAGTTTTGCCTCTACATAGATGCATAATTCTATCTATGTCAAAGAGGCATTTTTTAAAGAGAGGACCCTGAACACTACAGGAGGCATCCCTTGGGTCTCCCTCAACATCTTTGATTCCTCTCATTTTGTAAACCCAGAGCATAAACTAAACGTGCATGGAACCCTATACAAACATTATGCACAATTATCTTAAGTGAGGAAAAGACCTTGGTGAATACAATGGGGGCTATTCATTTTCCTTTGCTTGGAACATCCCCCTTGCACACACCCCCCTCCCCCAAGTAGTAGTGGGAGAGGGACCTGCAATGTTACACCAATCTATTATGGGAGCAGATAAACGAATGCTACCAGATTTTTCCATAGCAAGTACTTTTGTAATATGAGTATAAATGTACCTTTTAAACCATTTGAATCACTTCCCTATCCATTTGCTCTTCGAATGGGGAAGAATATTCAGCAAAGTGTATTGCACGCAGGAAACACTAATTATCCAGGCTACAAAAACAAATCACCAAGCACTACTGTATTTCCAATTTCACCCTATTAATTTTTGGTGAAGTATTTCTATACTTGTTCCAATGCAAATTAATATGCCTAGTAGTTTTTAATTTGTTTGTAACTATGGATTTCTTAAGTTCCTCCAGCACCAGAGCTAGTTCCGCCTCCTTGAGAGCCCCTGTCTTTTAAAAAACAGATTTTTCCAAGCACTGAACTTTAGTAGAAAATGCTGCATATAAGCCCCCCCCCCCAGAAAAAAAATCACAAAAACAAACAAAAAAACTAAGAACTAAGCTCTGGACTCCCAAGTGTCGCGCCTCCCCCCACCCCCCTCAAAACCCTCTGGGCCTTCAGTGCTGTGAAGACCGTATTTCCATTTAAAAGGACCGAAATGGGGAGGAAACGCCACCACTTCCAAATGCCAGGGCCTGCTCTGCCTTCTGGTCAAGCAGAACCGATACTGGAAGACCTTGGGCGGCGGGGAGGGGTCGTGTGTCCAGCAGTCTGGTCTAAGGAGGCAGCAGGACCTCAGCGTGCACGCGCCAGCAGCGGCATCAGAAATAATAAGCGGCGGAGCTCCGGGGGAGTCGGGGGAGGCCTCGGCGGGGAAGCTGGAGGCCGGATGCCGCTGGCCTCGCCGAGCCTTTCGGTGCTGTCCATACTGATGAGCTCCTCGGCTGACACTGGAAAGCCAAGCGAAGGAGGAGCGGAGCAGGCAGAGGAGGCAGAGGAGGCGCGGAGGAAGGCGGCTGAGTCGCGCACCCGGCTTTGACGTCGCCCGGCTGCGGCTAGCAGCTCGCGCTCTCAGCACGTAGCGCACAACGTGACCACACACAGCCTTCCTCTCCGGCAGCCCGTCCGCCCGTCCGCCCGCTCCCAGCTTCGCCGCCCTCCTCCTCCTCCTCCTTTTCGCCTCCGCGGCGCGCACCCCCGCGCATACCCCGGGATTCCGACTGGCGTCGAGCTCTGGGCGCTCCGCCGCCCGGCCGGGCACCTCTGCCGCATCTGGGGCCCGCGCCGCGGCCACGCAGCCGGTGTCCTCCTCAGGCAGCCGCTCCCGCGTTCGCCTCCGAATGCCAGCACTACGTTAGCCCAGGCGGGGAACCCCTTCTACGGCGCCCGCCTCTAAACTCCCGCCTGTCCCGACCGCCCCCACCCTTCTACCTGGCGGGGGCGGCGCGGAAACGAAGAGGACGCGCGCGGTGCCGGTGGGCACGCGTAGACGTGTGTGCGGATCCGGGGTCTGTTTGGCATTCTCCGGCGCGCGCAAGTGGCGGTGCCTGACTCCGCTAGCGGCTCCCGGAATCGGTGCAGCCGGCCCGAGCCTCCTCTGGCTGGCGGGCGCTGAGGGCTATTTCGGAGAACGTTGGTGTGGCGGCGGCAGCTGAGGCTGGTGCCCGAGAGAGCTCCAGACGCACACTGTGCTCCCTGTCGGTCCCTCTCCTCCTCCTCCCTCCTCCCTCCCCTACTTCCCCACCCCCGTCGCTCTCGCCCCACTCCTCCTCTTCCTCCTCCTCCTCTTCCTCCTCTCCCCGCTCGGCGATGCGAGCCTGTATCTTGTAACAGGATTGGCGTTGCAATGGCAACTGATGGAATGGGGGAAGGCAAGACAGCAGGGCTGGGGGCTCCGGACTGCGGGCGGGCGGGCCGCTGCCGCCGCTTGACGCTCCTCCGGGGACCTTCGCGAGTTACTTTGTAAAGGCGAACCCAGGCGAGGAAGCCCCCGCTCGGCGCCCCGAGTCCGAGGCCACTTCCTGCTCCGGGGCTGCTCGCGCCAGGCTCGCACCGCTCGGCACCCCCGACCCCTCGCCCGCGCCCGCCGCCAGCCCAGCGCGCCGCCGCCGCTGCGGAGACTCGAGCCCGCTACCCTGAAGAACACTTCGCCTCCCGGCTCCCCTCCCTTCACGCCCCCTGCTCCTTCCCGGCGTCTGCGGTCTCCCCGGGCGCCCGATGTGAGTGTGGCGCGTGTGCGAGTGTGTGTCCGGGTATTGTGTTGTGAAAGTGTGTGTGTCAGGATAGCGTGTTGTGGAAGTGTGTGTGTGTATGAGTGTGGGGTGTGCGGAGCTCCTGCGCTCGGCTCGCAGCCGCCGCGGGGAAAGGACGGACGGACGACGCTTCCTTCTTCGGCGAGCGGTTCCCGGGGACCGCGGCTCGGCCCGGGTACGAGTGGAGCGCGCCCGCCTGGCCGCCGGCCTCTGGAAGGTCCCGCTGAGTCCCCCCTGGGCTGGATATGTTCATGTTCACGTGAAGATGGATTTAGTGTACGGTCTCGTGTGGCTGCTGACAGTCCTCCTGGAGGGGATCTCTGGCCAAGGAGTGTACGGTGAGTGGAATCGCGACGCTATCGTGACCTTGTGATTCTTAGGCAAGATAGGCTGGTGAGCGAAAATGCACGACTCGCGCCGTGACGGGGCCCCTCCCGGCGTGGCATTTGATTTACACTTCATCACGTTATTGGGAGCATTAAGGAGGCAGCGAGCGCGCTGCGGATTGGGCTGCGAGCCGCTCCTCCAGCACCTGGGCTCGGGCTAAGAGTTGGGTCGAGCCGACAACCTCGCACTTGTGCGAACCAGTGGCTTGGCACTTGATTTATCCCCGCTGGGGACCCGGGCTCTGGCAGTCTTTGATTTAATAACGATTTGGCTTCCTGCTGGCCGAGGTGTCGGTGCCGCGGTTCCCCCCAAAGGGAATCTTCGAATGTGACCCCAGTGAGCGCCCCATCTCTCTCCGCCCTCTGCCGCCGCCTCCTCTCCACCTTTTCCTTTTTTGTGTGAATACCTACATGACTTGATTTTCTGGCTCAGGAAGTGGGGTGACAGTGGAGTCGCGTTTGTGCACCAGCCGTTGCCATGAGCACTGACTTGGGGAGGGGAAAATAGCAGGCAAGATTCTTGGTGCCAGATACAATTAAGGGACATGTTTATGTGAATGGATGAGCAAATGCATGAATGAACGGACGACCAAGTCCGCGCGTCTCGGCTCCGGGGCAGGACACGAGCTCCCTGCAACAGGAACACAATTTCAGTTCTTTGGAAAACCCAGGTCTGGGCGGGTTAGGACCGAGAGAAGGGCGAGCTTATTAATTCGGAGATTTGTAAGTCCTCAAGAACAAATCCAGGTTCCTTTGCCTGTCAGCAGTTGGCACCCTTGGCTTTCGGGACTGAGAGACACACACGCTGGCTGAAATGTGCGTCTTCTCCTGGGACAGGCAGGCGGTGCCACAGAGGGAAAAATAACTTTTCTGTCCTGGAGGTAATGGAAGGGGGGTTAAGGAGTGGCCCTTGAGGGACAGCAGGCCAAGATTCGTGCACAGCTCCGGGGCTCAACATTCATAGAATATGTGTTGGAAATTCAGCCCACTGCCTGTGGTCTCTCTCAGGGGCTCCGACCCTAGGGCAACAGTGCCCTCTCAATAAAGGCATTCCGGGGTGGGAGTGGGGCGGGAGAGGAAGGGCAAAGAGTGGTTCGATGGGAGTTTTTCCTGCAGATCCTAACATTGACTGTCAAATGGGCATGGGTACTGTGGGGGCCTTAAATTCTCAAACTCTCTGGGAATGTGGAGTGAACAGTGCTGGAATGTTTGGGATGGATGCAGGAGATCCCACCCAGCCTTTACTTTTTTCACTGTGCTCTGTTTTAGGTTGAGTAGTGTTGGGGGCTGCAGGATGCTCTTCTGAGCTGTGAGCTTGACACTGCTGCCCCTCCCCTTTTCTTCTTAGTACCCTCCTTGCCTGGCATAGATATGTCACTTTCTTCCACCTCTAAGCATCTTAATGTCTCCTTTCCCTAAATGAGAGGGAGAGCTTGCTTGATGATAATGGTGGTGATGGTGGTGATAATGGTGGTGATATCAGAGACTGAGACTTCTGGCATATCTTATGCTTGGCAGCTTGCAGAAGGTGAGGCCTCCAGGAGAGCAGTGATTAATATAATATCCTCTGGAATTCTGCTGATATCTGGTGACCCCAAGCAGCTGAAAATGGCCAGGATTCTAGGAATGAGACATGTTGGATATAAAGCCTTCTTGGGAGCTGTTTCTGAATATGGGAGAGTCTGACTTCATATCCAATATCCAAGTCTTTATTTGTCTCATTGGTGCAGGTGATTGCAAGTCTAAGGAATTAAAACAAAACAAAACAAAAATCTGTGTATGTATGTGTAAAGGGGCTAATGAGAAGTGAGAAAGAAGGGTGTGGATGACTTGGAACTGACTGCATCAGAAAGGCAAGGTTCCATTTTCCTGCCACTTTTTGTCTCAGGTTATTTGTCCTGGCATGTCTCATGTTGGCAGTGGAGAAGGGTAGGATGTAGGAGCCGAGATAAGAAGGAAACAGTTACATTAAAATTATCTTCTGACCATGTTTCTCAACAATAAAGGTAGAGGCAGTTCCTCATTTGTGATGAAGGTGATGGTCTTTTGTTTTTTAATATTGATGTGATTATTAGTCACTTGGCTAGAAGTAGAGCTGACTGAAAATTAATCAGCATCTTTGATCATTAAAAATGCCATTGCTATTAGGTGGTGAAAAAATGCACGGATATATATATAAAACTTTCAGGTATATCTTTCACATGGCATAAGTTGGTGTTTCTGAGTGGAAACCATCATTACCTTTCATCATCAATGTCACCTGTAAACTTGTTAGAAATGAGGAATCCTGGGTCCCTCCCAGACTTTCTAAATAAGAAATTTAGAGTGTGTGAGCAAGCAGTCTGTGATCATTACCTCAGGCAGTGATTCTGATGATTGCTATAATCTGAGAACTACTGCAAACAGACTTCAGATTTCTTTGCTCTGACTTTGTAAATAGTGATATTTCTTAAAGTCATTTTACTTTTACTTGTGGATGTGTTAATAGGAAGGAGAACAACTTTTTTTTTTTCATTTAGTTGTATCAATCATTTGTTTATAAGGGATGTAGATATAAGGGTATAAAGTGTGTTTTATGAAGAGACTTGAAAAAATATATATTTTTTTAAAAGGACACTTATAAACAGAGACTTTAAAGATCTACACAAAAGTTTAGTAGCATAACAGTTTATATTCCTATGCACATTTATTTTACTGTATTTGTCTGATATACCCATTTTTACTACATGCAGAGTATTATTTTTTATACTATGTTCTAGTAACTAGGTCTCCAAAGAAAATAAAAACTGCACAATAGCTGAGATTTTTGTATATGTGGCAGTTGGAGTATCCTTTACTATATATCTTCCTGTTTACCCTTTGCAAATAATTTTAATGTCACTCAAAAACTTAATAAAACAGGGCATAGATTGATGTGTAATCCTTAATTATTCAATAACAGAAATGTCATTACAGTAATATAAATTATTGGAAAATACTTCTGATTGGAAAAATTTAAAAAAATTATAAATAAGCAACATCAGAAAAAACATAAGAAATATTAAGAACATGATTTTAAATATTTTAACATATAATACCCATTTGGTGTATTTTTTAAAATCCATTTACTTAAATTAGTTATTCTCCATAAATTTTAATGTTACTGGCATTCAATTATTTTCTTCAAAATATTCCTGGAACTTTTGTTTAAATTTTCTCTCTATGGACTTAAACATCACTGAAAACCAGAAAGTCACAAAATGAACAGTGATACTTTTAATTTTAAATTGTGTTTCACTGCCTTTGCATTAAATATAAAGATAGCACCTGGGGTTACATTGTGAATTTCAGTTATGTATATATTTCCTGAAATACTTAAAGCTGGATGATCCCAACTATTTTCCTAGCTTTGAAAGACTTTGTAAGTCATTATATAGCAGTAAGTTGTCTGGGCTGATTGTGTTTTCTAGAAATCATGTTGATAATAATAGAATATCTAGAATTTTATTTCTTGTAAATATCTCAGTTGTCATGTTGAAAATGAGAAAAAAAATCTGCCCATTGATACACACTATAATTTTATCTCTGGTCCATTATGTACTTAATTTCCAGAGAAAATAAAACATGTAATACACATCAGGACAAATTCATACTGTGAATTAAAAACAAGAAGGTCCATGTCTGAATAGTTTTTAATAGACATCAAGTAAGCCAGTGCCTTGGTGTTCTGAAATATTTAATGTAAAGTCCATTAATAGCTTCTAGGATGCTTTAGAAGCAATAAATAGAATCAGTTTAACAAACACAGCATGGGACAAATTAATGAACTATATTCAGGTGATATCAATTATTCTCATTTTCTGAGAATGATACCCAGTAGCAGTTAGACAGAAAAATCATAGTGGGAACCAGGAGATAAAGTAGATAGGATGGATCTGAAAGATATTTCAGACTGTCAGTAAGTTGAATCTGGATGGAGAGATTTTGATCTAAAAAGAGCAGAAAGCTAAAAAGAGCAGAAGTTGATCATTGTGCCCAGGTCTAAAATGTTGCCAATCTAACAGTTAACCCAAGGTCCACTAAATACCGACTTTGTCCAGCTTGAGTTTGTAGAGACCCTTTCCTCAAATGTTACTTTTGAACGAACATATATTTAAAGTGTCAGCCTGTGGGAAAAAGGAGGAGATGACTTTAATAATGGTTACTTCAAAATACCAGTCTTAAGCTCTATCACATAAATCAGCCTTAGGCTTGTCTCTTCCCACCCTTCACCCCATTGTCTTTACATCCACTTTAACACACGAGGACTCTTTCATACTGTTGCCACCTTGGCCACTACCAGAAGAGAGAGTGGCTGTCCATTGTATCTTGGATTATTTTTGTCCAGTCACGGTTGTTCTTATTGGTAGTGTTACGGAGAATTGATATGTAAAGCAGGGAGATGATTGTATTTTACAGTGTTAACTTGTTCATGTCTTACATGTGCCCAGGGAAGCCCCCTAAGTAGGCTATTGAAAATTTTAGATGGAGCAGATTGTACAAGCCTCAGGAATCAGTTTATAAGAAGTCACTGTAAGACCCAGAGTTCAGACAATTATTAGTTAGAGGTAAGTGATTAAGATGAGACAATTCTAATGACCAGATGTCACAAAAGAAATCTGAGAAAAATATTTCTATGATCTGGTTTCTTGATTTAACCTTTTATCTTTGGTTCTAACTTTTTTTACATTGTAAGATTACTTCAGCTTTTGTTTTATAAGGTGAACCACCTTAAACCTTTTTTTTGATGAGCAGGTACACACAAACTTTTTTTTTAATGAAGTTGAATGATTTACTGTTTATTTTCCATCAAGACTGTTGCTTTACTGTACAAAAATAGCACCAGCAAACACACTATATTTCAAAATTAAGATAGTATTGTTCATCTGTATTGTAGAACTGACAACTGTTTTTCTCCACTGCCATTCAGTTCT